CTTTAAAATGTGTTATGTGGCTTTTAAAAAAACGCTTCATTAAAAATAAACACTTTCCTCAGATATATCAGATATTGCTGGATCCTCGTGTTTGCGTGGAACTGCTTCCTGTTGATCGTAAAGACGAAAGTGGCTGAACATGAGGAGCTGTGACGCCGCTAAAGATGATGGAAGGTTCTGCTGGGATTCATTTAGAGATCACTTTATTGGGATTAAAGGTTTAACTCTGGACATCAAAGACTCTGCAGGGGTTTAACTCTCTCTCTCTCTGAGGAACTCGGCCGGTTTTATCTGTTAATGATGCTTGATGGACGCCCTGCTCCTCCTCCTGCTCCTTCTCTTGCTCCTTCTCCTCAATGATAGAATCCTTGGTTCAGTCATCTCCAGGACGGAGCAGCTCCTCCTCTGATGGTCTCTCTCTGTGCTTCAGGTTTGGGACCCCACCTCCCCCCCGGCCAGTTTGGGGCGGGCCGCGGTCACTAACGACAACTTTCAGAGGCGGAGGGTTTCCAGGGAAACAGAGGAGCAGCAGGTAGGCGGGGTCTCTGAGGAGGACGGCGGGTCTGATCCAGGAAGGTGTCTGACTGTGTCTTTGTGTTTAGGGGCATGAGAGGAGACCCCCGCTCCATCATCGAGTACCGAGACCTGGACGCCCCTGATGACCTGGACTTCTTCTAGCTCCGCCTCCTTTTTTACTTTTTTATTGGTCAGCCCGTGTTAGCAGGACCAAGCATCGCTGATAGAGACCAAACTGATGGCGACAGGACACTTTCCAATAAAGACCAGAACAGAACCAGGCCGACTCCTCGTCTTCTGTCCCCTGTAGGTCTGTAGACCTCCATGGAGATCAGGTCCTCTCTGCTCCTCTCACCTTCATTAGAGCAGAAACAACGAGCCGCAGGAGCTCAGAGGAACAGGAGGACCTGAAGGAAACATCTGGAAGGTCTCTACAGACCAGAGCTGAACTCCACTGGTCTGCTGACAGGGAAGCTCTGGATCTGTTCTCAGCAGGTCCAGGATCAGCAGCAATCCCTGCTGAGGTGTTAGAGGTAGGAGGTCCAGGATCAGCAGCAATCCCTGCAAAGGTGATGGAGGTAGGAGGTCCAGGATCAGCAGCAATCCCTGCTGAGACGTTAGAGGTAGGAGGTCCAGGATCAGCAGCAATCCCTGCAAAGGTGATGGAGGTAGGAGTTCCAGGATCAGCAGCAATCCCTGCTGAGTTGTTAGAGGTAGGAGGTTCAGGATCAGCAGCAATCCCTGCTGAGTTGTTAGAGGTAGGAGGTCCAGGATCAGCAGCAATCCCTGCTGAGTTGTTAGAGGTAGGAGGTCCAGGATCAGCAGCAATCCCTGCTGAGTTGTTAGAGGTAGGAGGTCCAGATCAGCAGCAATCCCTGCTGAGTTGTTAGAGGTAGGGAGGTCCAGGATCAGCAGCAATCCCTGCTGAGTTGTTAGAGGTAGGAGGTCCAGGATCAGCAGCAATCCCTGCAAAGGTGATGGAGGTAGGAGTTCCAGGATCAGCAGCAATCCCTGCTCAGGTGTTAGAGGTAGGAGGTCCAGGATCAGCAGCAATCCCTGCAAAGGTGATGGAGGTAGGAGGTCCAGGATCAGCAGCAATCCTTGCTCAGGTGTTAGAGGTAGGAGGTCCAGGATCAGCAGCAATCCTTGCTGAGAGTGGGTGGAGCCAATGCAGATGATTGGCTCCACCCACATCCAGTGAAAACTAGTGTGATTGGATGAGTCATAGAACGCAAACACTCATTGGTTAGCTAAAGGAAACCATCAGAAGCCAGCAGGTGTTCTTCAAACTGCTAACGTGAATTGTCTATGCCATGCTACAATGTGGGATTCAGAAAAAGATGCTGAAATGTCTGAAAGGTCGGACACAGGCGAGAGCGTATCGGGAGACGGAGACCAACAAGACCTCCCTCATCCTCGGCCCTATCTCAAAGGATTATAGAAATAGAGCTTTCAGTTCATCTACCGGCATCTGGCTGTTTTTTCAAAGGTAACTTTATACTTTTATACTTTAAGTAGTTTTTGGAGCTCATACTTTTTCACTTTTACTGGAGTAAAGAGGTCAAGTTGATAGAATATAATAGAATTTCATTCATTGTTTGCTGTAATGGATTATTTCATATCTTCATTTAAATTGGAAATATGTTTGTTATTTCTAGATGAATAAATGTGAAGATATAACAGGAACATTTCACAGGTGAATAAGGATGTTTAGGACGAGGATTCATTTATGTAAAATAATGATTTCAGTAAGAACAGCAAACTAGGAGTCAATATGAAATCAGATCAGTTCATTGATAACTGAGAGGATGAAAGAAGAAGAAAATGAGAACAAATATTAGATCCAAATGGTTCCACTCAGGCTGAAACCTTTCCCCCTTCAGGATGCTCCATATTTCTGGATTTATTCAATGATAAACCGTAGAAGATCAGATTTCTGTTAGATGTGTAATAAACAGAGTTTAGAGCGTCAGTCAGTCTAAACAGCTCCTGTATCGATCATGTGACTTCCTGTTGGAGCTCAACTCATGCGCCGCTGCATCAGTGTTTCTGGACCCATCACTAGAGACTAGATGCATCATGAAGTCAGAACCTTTGCTGTGATCTATTATCCAATGCAGCAGCTCTTTATCCCGCTGTGGATCATTGATTTTATTAACTTTTTCAACTTTCTTCAGATTGTTGTTAATCTTTTTAGCTTTAGCTCCCATGAAGCTCATTACTCGTCCCCTGAGAAACGCTTTGAATGCCTCCCATCTAATGCCTGCTGCTGTTTGGGTTGAACTCCTCTGATATGTCTGTGTATCATCACACGCAGCGTGATCTGAGATCACCTTCATATCATGAGAGCTGTGAGAAATGTATTATTGTAGTTAGATATTATAAATAGATTTATCTAAGCTTTAAATGAACTGGAAAAAATTTGAAGAAATTACTTTATCCAAGCAGGTGACAGCAGCCTTTCCAGAGTAACAGCTGGATCCCTTTAAGGTTGGACCCAGATTTTAATAACCTTCAGGATCACTATTAGAGCCACATTCTGGAGTTTTTGTTCTTATTTTCCTGTTCACTCTTGTTCAACACCACCTCTACATCTGGAGAAGGCTTTGGATGCAGGGAAATTAGAGGATGTGAAGTCATTACTTTTTTATTCATTTATTTTTTTTACTAATGGTTCCTAGAAGATCTTTTAGTTCTCAGGCTCCTCTCCTGTGGAACCAACTACCAGTTTTAGTCCGTGAGGCAGACACCCTGTCTACTTTTAAGGCTAGGCTTAAAACTTTCCTTTTTGATAAAGCTTATAGTTAGAGTGGCTCAGGTTATCCTGAGCTATCTCTATAGTTCTGCTGCTATAGGCTTAGACTGCTGGAGGACATAGGGACCCCTTTTTCATCATTCTGCTTCATTCTATCTCTATTCTCCCACTCTGCAGAATCTGTTAGTTCAATCTCTAACGTTCTGCTCTCTCTGCTTTTTCTCATAGTAGCTTCATCTGGTCTGTTCCTGTTTGGCTGTGACTCCATCCTGGAGAGAAATATCAGCTGTGCTGCTGCCATCAACACCTTTGTTTCTAGATGTTGGAGCTTGGCCTGTTTTCCAGTGTAGTCCTGTTTCTCTGACTGTGACTAACTGGATGTGCTCTCTTCATCCTCTGACATGGGAGCTGGCTCGGAGCTCGTCTGCCTGGCTGTGTGTTTCCTGGACGGGGCCGCCTGTGGAGCTGGTTGACAGTTGCCTTTTGTATCTATGCTTCTTTTTCTATGTCTGCTTCTGTCTCCTTGAACCCCAGTCGGCCTCAGCAGATGGCCGCTCACACTGAGCCTGGTTCTGCTGGAGGTTTCTTCCTGTTAAAAGGGAGTTTTTCCTCTCCACTGTCGCTACAAGCATGCTTAGTGTGAGGGATTGCTGAAGAGTCAATGAGTCGATGCAATCAGCTGGTTTTCCTTAGATAGAAAACTTTGAATCAATCTGACTGGATGATCTGGTGAACTGGAAAGTGACCTGAGATGACATGATGTGAGTTGGAGCTATAGAAATAAACTGAATAGAATTCAATATATATATCTTTAAATTCAATTCAGTTTATTTATATAGCGCCAAACATCATTTGGCCAAATAATGTTTTATTCACCTCATGGGTTTGCATTGTGAATTGGTCTGAAAACATCCCAAATTCTCTAAATTAGTGAAAAGCTAATTTGATCATATCCCAAATTCTTCCAGATAAACACAGAATCCATCTTAAACTGTAATATGGTTTTAACCATGTTCCCCTTCCTCTTTGTACATAGTAGTTTAGTTTAGTTGAGTTTGACCTGAATATTTTTTGTTAATAAACTCTTGTATTTTGATGACAGTTGTGAATTTATTCCATGTATGTGCAGAATTATCTGTTTGACCATGATTAGAGCTCGAATCACTCGATTGTTTTTCTAATTCCCACAAATAGGGCGTGTTTTCATAAGCAATTTATGAAAGTCCATATAATGTCATTTCAAGCAAAATGTCTAGAAATTAATCTAAGATCTCCATATTCCTATTGTTACTGGCCATCATTTGTATCATTTTGACTATGAAGAAATGTTTTTCAGATATAAATACATATTCAGTCAAGCTGATAAAATTTTAAAACGGTCACTTAAAATATGTAAACATTTCCAGATATATAAAACTTTTTACTGGTATAATTTAGATTTTTTTTTTTTACTTTCTAAAATTCAGTTTCTGCTACAAAAAATTAATTTAGAATATATATAATTACAGTTTAGTCTAGGAGTGTGATTTTGATCAGGAAGAATCTTATTTTAGTGATCTACAAATGGAATTACAGAGAGGAGAGTGCTTTGAATAAATGTTAAAACAGCCTGCCATAGTCCACTTCATATAAACTTACATTCGAGCAGCAATCTTGTCCTTCTCCATCTTCCTCTCCTTTGTAGCTGTAGCGCTGTTTCTGTCTTTAAACACATTCTCCATTGTTTAAAGTATTTCTACATTAAAATCTCCAGTTCCAGTGGGGGGAAATAGGCACTTCCTGTTATGATTTGTTAAATCAGCACTCCACTGTTATTAGTTTTTCATACTTGTTACGCTCATGTTCAACTCTGAGTGGACCTTCTTAGAGTTGATTGAACTAATTCATAGCAGTCACTGGTAAACCAAACACTTAGAGTTCCAGACTTTAGGCCAGATCAATTTAAAGTTGCGTAATTAACTTATTATTTAATGAAACAGACCCCAGGAAGCAGAGTCCTAGTTTAACAGACCTCTCTGCAGCTTCTCTACTGTTACCCACTCTACTCCATCCAGACAGTGTCTTGCCCACGACCAAAATCTAATAAATTAGCAAAGATTCCCAAAGGAGTAAATCATGATAATCTAATTAAAATCAAAATAACTCCAATTGGGGAAAAAGTAAAAAAATTAAATGCGGTCTGTTTAACATAAGATCGCTTTCCTCTAAAAGTCTGCTAGTTAATGACTTGATTTGTGATAATCACATTGACTTGTTTTGCCTTACAGAAACCTGGCTGCAGCAAGAGGATTATGTGAGCATAAATGAGGCAACTCCTTCAAGCTATTTAAATTTTCACATACCCAGAAGTTGGACCCAGAAGGTATTAAACACTGACAGGGTCATCATAGCGGGAGATTTTAACATCCATGCTGACATTGAAGGCGATAGCTTAAGAGCAGCCTTTAATGCTATCTTAGACACTATTGGCTTTGTTCAAAATGTGAATAGTCCCACACATTCTCATCTTCATACTTTGGATCTTGTGCTGACATACGGCATAGAATGTGAAGAAATAACAGTATTTCCTCACAACCCTGTCCTCTCTGACCACTTTCTAATAACCTTCAGGATTACTTTAACAGAGTTCTCCTCCCCCAAAAGAAGGTTCCACTTTAGTAGATATTTATCAGATAGAGCAGTTATACATTTTTAAGAATCTGCTTCACTTTCCCTCTCCTCTGTGTGGCTGAGCAGTGCTGCAGAGTGCAAAAGCTTAGCTTATTCCCTTTGCTGGCTCCTTGGTTTAATGCAGAGCTGCGTACTTTGAAGCAAAATGCTAGGAAACTGGAGAGAAAATATCGCTCCACAGGCCTGTGGGAGTCCTTCCTAGTCTGGAAAAATGGTTTACTGCTGTATAAGAGGACCCTTTGTAAAGCAAGAGCAGCATACTTCTCCTCATTAATAGAGGAGAATAAGAATAATCCTAGATTTCTTTTTAATACAGTTGCCAAACTCACCCAGAGCCATAGCTCTGTTGAACCGTCCATCCCACCTGTTTTTAGAAGTAATGATTTAATGGGATTCTTTATAAATAAGATAAATAAAATAAGCAGAGTTCTGATGAATATTAAAAACAGACGTGTATCCAGGAGGAGCCTGTCCTCGAAGTCAATGACTGGATGCAATTAGCTGTTTTTCCTTGATAGAAACTTTTCAACCTTAATTTTACCAAACGATCTGAATAAACAGTCTGTGTAAAGCATGTATTGTTCATTTCTGCTTTAGAAATAAACAGATGAAGAGTAAACGGCTGATTTATTGTCAGAACCAAATATCTCAGGGTTTCAGACACAAACTCCTGCAAAGGTGAGGAAAGGAACATTTAGATTTCAGGTCCAACTGAGGAGGAGGTTAAGACTTCAGTCAGTGCTGCAAACACACAAACAAACAACCCCTCCCACGCTGACAACAACAGTTCATGCTGTAATAGATCCAAGGTGTCCATCCTCTGAACATCTCTGCTTCTCTGTGTTTCTCCACTTCTTGATCCATAGAGAAGATCACTGAGCTCCACTGAAACATTCAGACCATTGGTTCTGTGTGGATCTGAGCTGGTCTGCTCAGCCTCCCAGTCTCTCACTGACCCAGACAGACTGGGAGGCCTGGTGGAGCCATGCAGATGTTTCCTGGAACTCTGATTGGAGCTCCTCACATCTGCAGCCTGTCATTAGAAACGTCACTAAAGGAATCCAGACGTGGAGCCAGGAGTTGATCTGATGGACCATCTGCTCTCTGAGAGCCTCCAGCCAGCAGGTGGTCCTGGTTCTACAGTCAGAGAGCAGATGGGTTCACCTCCTGGAGGAGGAGGAGGAGGAGCACCACCTTAGTGGGCGGAGCTTATCAAGCTGCAGACAAACGGTCCACAGAGGGATGATGAGTTGGAGGAAGGAGAGACATCTCTGAGTCCATCTGTCCATCATCCCCTGTCTGTCCTCTGTCCCTCCTGCATCCCTCTGTCCTCCTGTCGTCCCTCTCTGGAGGCTCTATGTGGTCAGTCCTCTCCTCTCCAGCTCCCTCGTCTGTTTCAGCTCCTTAATCCTGCAGAAGAACATCAGACATGAGAAGCAGGAAGTGATGCTGAGGAGGAAGCGTCTCCTCAATGCCCCTCCCTTACCTGTGTCTGCAGCGCCGCAGGAACCTCATGATCTTCCTGGCTGCCTGGTCCTGCTTCTTAGTCAGGAACGACCCCCTGGTGGACAAACGACCAATAACTGATGATCAGCTGAGGAACAACTTCTCCATGACAACACACAGACTACAGCAGGAGGGAGCAGGTTACCAAGGAGACGGACAGAGATCATCTCAGCCTAAAGTTTCCTTAGACTTGGTTCAGACTGAGTCCATCAAGTCCATGTAGGTCTATCAACCCATTCACTGATGGAAGCATTCATTTTTCTGTAATACTAGGAGATGGTGTTAATGTTGGTCCTGTTGAACAGGACCCTCCAGATTAGTTGGCCCCGAGCAGGAAACTGGGTTCTTATTGCAGGCAGAGCACCACTGAGAAAAGAGACGCCATCTTTTATCCTACTGCAGCCGAGTGGAGGGCACCCTAGCACTCAATATGGTGTGTCTGATAGGGTCTGAACACCAAGTCAGCCTCCCAGGGCCATGCCCATAGCTGGAGATGTTGAGGGTTGGGGTGCCATATTTGTCCCCCAAACTGAGACAGCAGATCCCTCTTTGCTGGAAGACGCCATGGAGTACTGTGACACAGATTCCAAAGCAGCAGGAACCATGGCCACGCTTAGTTCCAGATCATGCGCACTACGTTGCCATGAAGAGACCACTCTCCTGGAGCAGATGCCTGGGGGGATAGAGTCCGCAACCAGTTTCCGCCATCCTGGCTGGATATAATGCCTGCAGGGTGGACAGACCAGGAGACACCCATTCCAGGAGATACCTGGATACCATCAGGAGACGTGCCGACCTAGTGCCTCCTAGTGCCTTTGCACATGGCACCTGAAGGCCATCTGTACAGCCCGCAGCTCGATCTGTGCACAGCCCTTGGATCTGAGAGATCCCAAAATGCTCTGTGTTTCCACACGGCACCCCAGCCAATGGGGCTGCCATCTGTGGTGACCACTTCCCTTTGACTCACCACCAAACCCATTGGAACACCATTGTACAAAAGGGTCCCGTCTCACCAAGGAGCTAGGGCACAAAGTCATATCCTCGTCACCATGAGCCTGTGATGTCTGTGCAGCCTGGCGTCTAGGCGAAAGCTGCTGAGCCACCGCTGCAAAGGATGCAGAAGTAGCAAACCTAAGGGCACAACATGAGTGACTGATGTCATTAAGTCAGCTATTGTGTCCTCTGAGGTCTAGATCGGGAAAAAACCACCCATCGTTGTACCTGGAGCCTGTAGCCATTGGTAAGGGTGGCAACCACACATAGATATACAGTATGAGCAACCCAGAAATCAGCTGCTGATGGGGAAAAATATCCGACGGTTAGAGGAGACAAGCAAGCCAGACCTGTCTATGAGCTTGGACAAGGAAAGACATGACACGGCCAAGCTCTCTGGTCATCAGACGAAGGTCTGCAATGCTGCGTTGCTAAAACCAACCGCCGCATTAGCACCGCCAGCGTCCTGAACAGACGCAGAAAGGGCAAACATGAGGTGCGCCATGGAGTTTCCAAAGCGTCCATCTGTGACCCAACATTGACCCCTCGGGCACCTCACATCAAGACCCAGGGCTTCTTCTGGTGACCCAATCAGCGAAGTGACAGCTCGTTCAATTGCTGGCATACGGCTGAGGCCGGCCTTCACTGACTCATGCATGGCAGCTAACACCTGATCGTCTAAAGAGAGACATCATAATGCTCTTAATTCCCACTAACAGGCGTGCAACTCCTTCAGGTACTCCTCTGATGGAGGTACAGAAAAGGGAGTAGGAGCCCGTCTGCATTTGAAAAATGCACTCCTGGAGTCAGTTACCTCACCTTGAGGGAGTTGCAGCTGCTTAGGGGCCATAGACATGACCTCCCACATGGAACAGTCACTGGCCTCTCCAACTGTACCCTGAGATGAAAACAAACCACTCTCAGAGGTTTGAAAGATCTTTGCGTCCTCCTCAGCTTTAATATGAGAAGAAGCCGCCAGAGATAAGACGTCATCCTCCACAACCAGTTCGGACATGGGTGGGGAAGAGATCCCAGCCACTGGAAGCAAGCCAACTCCGCCGACAACTGCTCCACCCAAGTGGACCATCCCTGATCAAGTTTGGCCCGCTTCCTTAGTGAAATGGTCATCAAGACCGCGGTCCCACCACGGTGCTTAGAACGCTTGGGGGAAGCCAACTGCCCAAAAGGCAGAAGGTCAGATCCCTCCTGGGGGCACAACTGGGCCAAACAAGTAACCCTCACTGCATGGGGCATGACATTACAGTTCATGCAGGAGTGCTCAGAGAGTGCTACACAAGGTGCTCACCTCCAGGGAACAGGTCTTGGCCATCCTCTGCCTGGAGGGCAGCCCCACAATCCCTGCAGCAGTGGGAGCCATCCTTGTCGAAGGTCGACAAGGAAATCTTCTGCTGTGTAAGATGTATATTTCTTCCATCTTAAGTTGCATCAGTTATTGGATTACTGATGACTGAACTAACCATCAGAATAACAGGATCCTCCATCACTAAAATAATGTTTTATGATCAAGCCTGCAGTCTGGAGGATGGGGTGCTCATCTAAAATGTTTCACTCCATTTGACTCCCAGCTAGCTCCGGTTCTTCCTGATAGTGACCCTGCTCCCCGACAGAGACCCTTGTTCCTCCTGACAGAGACCCCCAGCAGTGACCCTGCTCCCCGACAGTGACCCTCGTTCCTTAAAAGAGCCTTCTCCTGACAGTGACCCTGGTTCTTTACAGCGACCCTGGTTCCTGACAGTGACCCTGGTTCCTCCTGACAGTGACCCTGGTTCCTCCTGACAGTGACCCTGGTTCCTCCTGACAGTGACCCTGGTTCCTCCTGACAGTGACCCTGGTTCCTCCTGACAGTGACCCTGGTTACTGACAGTGACCCTGGTTCCTCCTGACAGTGACCCTGGTTCCTCCTGACAGTGACCCTGGTTCCTCCTGATAGTGACCCTGGTTCCTCCTGACAGTGACCCTGGTTCCTCCTGACAGTGACCCTGGTTCCTCCTGATAGTGACCCTGGTTCCTCCTGATAGTGACCCTGGTTCCTCCTGACAGTGACCCTGGTTCCTCCTGACAGTGACCCTGGTTCCTCCTGATAGTGACCCTGGTTACTGACAGTGACCCTGGTTCCTCCTGACAGTGACCCTGGTTACTGACAGTGACCCTGGTTCCTCCTGACAGTGACCCTGGTTCCTCCTGACAGTGACCCTGGTTCCTGACAGTGACCCTGGTTCCCTCAGACAGTGACCCTGGTTCCTCCTGATAGTGACCCTGGTTCCTGATAGTGACCCTGGTTCCTGACAGTGACCCTGGTTCCTCCTGACAGTGACCCTGGTTCCTCCTGACAGTGACCCTGGTTACTGACAGTGACCCTGGTTCCTCCTGACAGTGACCCTGGTTCCTCCTGACAGTGACCCTGGTTCCTCCTGATAGTGACCCTGGTTCCTCCTGACAGTGACCCTGGTTACTGACAGTGACCCTGGTTCCTCCTGACAGTGACCCTGGTTCCTCCTGACAGTGACCCTGGTTCCTCCTGACAGTGACCCTGGTTCCTCCTGACAGTGACCCTGGTTACTGACAGTGACCCTGGTTCCTCCTGACAGTGACCCTGGTTCCTCCTGACAGTGACCCTGGTTCCTCCTGATAGTGACCCTGGTTACTGACAGTGACCCTGGTTCCTCCTGACAGTGACCCTGGTTCCTCCTGACAGTGACCCTGGTTCCTCCTGATAGTGACCCTGGTTCCTCCTGATAGTGACCCTGGTTCCTCCTGATAGTGACCCTGGTTACTGACAGTGACCCTGGTTCCTCCTGACAGTGACCCTGGTTCCTCCTGACAGTGACCCTGGTTCCTCCTGATAGTGACCCTGGTTACTGACAGTGACCCTGGTTCCTCCTGACAGTGACCCTGGTTCCTCCTGATAGTGACCCTGGTTCCTCCTGACAGTGACCCTGGTTCCTCCTGACAGTGACCCTGGTTCCTCCTGATAGTGACCCTGGTTCCTCCTGATAGTGACCCTGGTTCCTCCTGATAGTGACCCTGGTTCCTCCTGACAGTGACCCTGGTTCCTCCTGATAGTGACCCTGGTTACTGACAGTGACCCTGGTTCCTCCTGATAGTGACCCTGGTTCCTCCTGACAGTGACCCTGGTTCCTCCTGATAGTGACCCTGGTTACTGACAGTGACCCTGGTTCCTCCTGACAGTGACCCTGGTTCCTCCTGACAGTGACCCTGGTTCCTCCTGATAGTGACCCTGGTTACTGACAGTGACCCTGGTTCCTCCTGACAGTGACCCTGGTTCCTCCTGACAGTGACCCTGGTTCCTCCTGACAGTGACCCTGGTTCCTCCTGACAGTGACCCTGGTTCCTCCTGACAGTGACCCTGGTTACTGACAGTGACCCTGGTTCCTCCTGACAGTGACCCTGGTTCCTCCTGACAGTGACCCTGGTTCCTCCTGACAGTGACCCTGGTTCCTCCTGATAGTGACCCTGGTTACTGACAGTGACCCTGGTTCCTCCTGACAGTGACCCTGGTTCCTCCTGATAGTGACCCTGGTTCCTCCTGACAGTGACCCTGGTTCCTCCTGATAGTGACCCTGGTTCCTCCTGACAGTGACCCTGGTTCCTCCTGATAGTGACCCTGGTTACTGACAGTGACCCTGGTTCCTCCTGACAGTGACCCTGGTTACTGACAGTGACCCTGGTTCCTCCTGACAGTGACCCTGGTTCCTCCTGATAGTGACCCTGGTTACTGACAGTGACCCTGGTTCCTCCTGATAGTGACCCTGGTTACTGACAGTGACCCTGGTTCCTCCTGACAGTGACCCTGGTTCCTCCTGACAGTGACCCTGGTTACTGATAGTGACCCTGGTTCCTCCTGACAGTGACCCTGGTTCCAGACAGTGACCCTGGTCCGCAACAGAGACCCTGGTTCCTTAGAGAGATCCTGCTCGGCCATTGGGTCTAGTCTCTGTCCCTGATGTGGATGTCTTACTTGATCTTGGGGTTGTGGGTGGCGCCCCCTCTGGGCGCCTGCTTCAGCTTCTCGTACTCCTTGTAGCTGCGGTAGTACTGCTGGATGAGGACGGCCGCTCGCCGGCTCTGCTGAAAACGTTTCTGCTCGTAGTAGGACCGGAACTTGGACTGGATCAAGATGGCCGCCTGGGTCATCTTCTTGTAGAGCGCGTACTGAGGGGGGGGAGAGTCAGAGCGTTAAACAGAGCAGGTCAGCTAAACCCAGGGCTCAGTCCTCCTGATGGTTATAGTTCGGCTAGTTCGGTTTCCACCAGTCTAAACTGGTTTCATGGAGGTAATCTGACTAGCATCTCTGTCTCTAGGCAACCAGAAGCATCACACAGACACACTGACTACACAGCACTACATCTACAGCAGCTGGGTTACCTTCAGAGCTATCCATGTTAGCTATCCAGAGAGAGAAAGACAGCAGGTTAGTTGACTTAGTGAAGCCACAGCACACCCTCACTCACGCACAGCGACACTCACCTGTTTGTACTTCCTGTAGCATCTCTGGATGACGGCTGCCGCCATGTCCTGCTGCTCCTTCAGCCTGCGGCCCTGCAGCAAACATAGCAGTTATTTCTCTGTTTGGCCTGCAGGGGGCTGGGGCCTGTCCATGGTTTCTATGGTTACCTTGTATCTCCTGAAGGCGTTCTGGATGATCCTGGCCGCCTCGTACAGCTCTCTCTGCTCGCCGTCCGTCAGGGTCAGAAGAGCAAAGTCTCTCTCAATCTTCCCATTGGCCGAGGCATTCAGGAACTCCGCCCATGCCGCAGAGGAAGGGGGGCGGAGCCTCTGGAGGGCCAGGGCACTGAGGGGCGAGGGGGGGCACACCCGTCTGCAGCAGAAAGACGATGCGGAGAACAGAGATGAACGGAGGCAACTTTTACAGATGTGAGGAAAACATCTGGATCCAGTTCCCAGCAGTTTGCTCTCACCTGGGAGGGGAGTGGGGCTGAGAGTCCACCGTCTCCAGGTAGGCAGCCAGCCAGGTGTCCTGGATGGCCGGGTTGTCCTGCCTCTCTCTGAGCGGAGACTCCGCCCCCCTCGGGAAATCCTCCTGTTTGATTCGCTCTGGAGTCGCCTCGATGATCTGATCCGCTAGAGTTGCCATGTCAACCTGATAAGCAGAGAGGCTGGTGAGCTGGAGGTTTTCATGATGGGTTAGTCTCTAGCCATGACAATATACCCTACCTGAAGCACCTCCTCATCCAGGTACCCCTCTTCTCCTTCATTCTCGGCGTTCTCGCTGTAGCTAAGCAACTGCTCCTCCAGCGTCGCCTCCTCCAGCGGCTGCTGCTGCTGTCCTCCCGCTGTGTCAGTGGGTGGGGCGTTCTCATAGTCCATGAGGTACAGGGAGGCGTCTCTGGAGCCGCCGGCCGTCAAACCTGTGAAAAAGATTAGTATAAAGACGACTTCGTTAGCTGTAGTTAGCCTAGCGTTAGCTACTAGGTGTCATGAGGTCATTTCCTCCTCAGAGTTCACGTTACCTGGACTGAAGGCAGCGTTAGGCTCCTCCCTCCACACAGATACGGCAGGAAGAGAGGGGGGAGACACCATCAGCGAGGAAGAGGAGGAGAGGGATGAGGGGGATGAGGGGGAGGTGTCCATGGGGGCGGGGCCACTGGAGTAGGCGGAGCTAGGAGAAGGAGAGGAAGGGTCGCTGGGGGAGGGGAGACTGCTTGAGGAGCTGAGACCTGGTGGGCGGAGACAGGAGAAGTGTTAGCCAATCAGAGAGCAGGCCTCAGGTCAGGTGACGGCAGGAGGTTACCTGTATCTGGGCTGGTGGACAGAGGAGATGGCAGAGTGTCTTCCCTGGGAGCCAGCTGAGTGCGCTGTGTGTGCAGCTCCTCCAGGGCAGCGGCGAGGCGTGTGTGACCCCTGGAGCGCGCCACAGCCAGCGGCAGGCGGCCCAGCGAGTCCGGGATCCCCAGAGCCCGACTGTTCCACCTGTACAGGAGCTCCGCTGCCCTCTGGTGGCCCAGAGCACACGCCCACATCTGAAACACAGAGTCATACCACGGTAACCATAGTGACGACCTGACGGCTTCCATGTGGGTCAGGTGGGGGCTTACCAGCGGCGTGCAGGAGAAATGGTCGACATTCAGAGGGTCCACTTCCTGCTCCAGGTCCAAACTGTCGCCGATAACGCTTCTGCAGACAACGCACAGTGTTACCATGACAACCAGGCGGCGTACTGAGAAAAGCAGATGCTATGTAACCATGGCAACGAGGCGGCGCACTGAGAGGACCAGATGTTTATGTTGTGATCAAGTACCGCTGATGTAACCGGAACTGCTCCCTTCTGAAGACACACCCCTCTGGCAGAGGTTATAAAACAGATAACTTCCCATGTCAACGTTCTATTTTGCTTTTGGTCCTAGACTGCCAAAGGCTAGATGCGGAAGCACTTCGCGCTAAATGCTACGCTAAGTAAACAGAGTTAAACGTAGTGTTTTTATTCTTCCAGCGATTCAAACAGAGTTGACAGAGAAGAGCTAATCCAGCTCTGCTAACCTTAATCTAACCGATGAACAACGGGGCCCCGAACGCTGTTCACCGAAGGAGCCGATAGAAGCCGCCAGACCTTTGACTGCCTGAGACGGAGCTGGAGGCTGCAGGTACAAGCTAGCCGCGGTAGCTAATCGGTAGACTTCCTATGCTACCGTGGGTTATAAAATTAACCCCCTTGCAAACTCGTTGCATCAGAATCTCTTTGAGATCTCCTGTTGGACGAACGAACTGGACTGAAGACGGGTCTGCAGAACATCGGACCAAGCCGAAGGCCTTCACTCCACCGAACCGTAACAGTAACATTATCCTTCCCACTCCTTTCTAGCTAAGCTAACGGGTCTTTCAGCCTCATCATAGTTTAATGCATTCCGGAGTCATTATTCCTTTTTCACCATAAACTGAATAAAACTTCACTGTTTGACTCCAGTTAACATCTGCTTCAGGGTTTATTTACATTTCATCTGCTGCTATTATAAAGGACACTTTTAATGCATTAAGCCTTAAACTTCGAACATCACAGTCTTTGAACAGACTCTTCAACCCCTCTTCCCATTTTATTGTTTTAGTTGTGCTTATTATCAGTAGCGTTTAGCGTCTGCTTAGTTATTGGATATAATACTGTGTGATTGTAGCTAATAAAGGTATCATTGTGTTTTTAACTCGTGGTCTTTGTGTTCATTTTCCACAGTGAACGATTTATCACTCAGGTTGGATTCATTCTTCTTTCAGTAGCATCAGAATGAACAGAGACACATTTATTAGGTTGGCGGTTAATAACGTTGCTAAGAGCCTGAATTATTAAATTGGTGAAAGAAAACTGGATTTTAAACAGCCGGATTCAGGAGTCTAACCTTTTAGGAAAGAGGCTAAAACCCCTGGTCAGTAAACAAGTTACAGTTAGAATCATTTAACTGATAATAAATAACTAGCTTTACCCTTTGATTTGAATGACCTATTATTCCAGTTCTAGTTTTTAACATATTCATATTCTCCTGGTGAACTCTCAGAACGTTTACCTCCAGTGGATCAGGGTGTGGATCAGGTGGGTGTATCCCTGAGCAGCAGCCAGGTGGAGCAGAGTCATCCCACGGTGGCGGACCGGGTGATGAAGACGCTCTCCTCCTCCTCCTCCCCATCGCGCTCCTCTCATCATCCGCTCACATACGGCGACGATCCTCCTCTCGAACCACTGAGGGGACTGAGACAGGAATGAACATCAGACTGACCGGTTCTGACTGGTGGATGCTCAGCGGACCGGGTCAGAACCAGAACCGCCTCATTTTAACACAGTAAAACAGTTTCTATAGAGTGACCCTATAGTCAGTCCTGCAGAATATTCTGGTTCTGTTCAGCTGTTCTTCAGCATCCTGCTTCCTCACCAACAGTTGCTAGTTTGATTCCCTTAGAAAGTCATTTAATCATTTTAGGATAATCGTCTGAAGAAGCATCAGTCTGAGAGCGGATCCAAACCCTCTGGGTCCAACCAGAACCTCCTGATGTCCTCCAGGAACATCCAGGCTGGGGGCGCCGCAGGCCGAGCGAGGCTGAGGACAGAGAGGAGAGCGAGGCGGCGTTGTTCTGGAAACGTCCTGCTGTCATCACTCAGCGCCTCCAGCCAGCTGCTCCTCCTCCGTCCCGCTCGCCGACAGCTGCGGCTCGAACACGAGCCTCTGGCCGGCGGCGCTGACAGCCTGACGCTCTGCTGGGTCTTCATCTGAGCGTCCCTCAGCGCCGGGACGGGTTCTGATTCACACGGCCAATCGGCTGCCAGAACCCATCACCATGGTAACCAGGAACACATGGATCACCTGCCTGATTCTACAACCAGAGATTGGATCAGGTCCCAACCTGATCCAGTTGAAGGAGGCGGAGTCAATGCGGGTCCAGAACCATCCACGGTCCATCATGGATGTAAAGGAACCGGCTGCCAGGCTAAACATTCATGTGGAGTAGGAACGTTTCAGGCCCGTTCTGAGAACCCAGAACCAGAGAAGGTTCTAGAGCACAGATGATGCTCTGATCCATCCTAATGCAGTTCTGAAGATCCACAGAAGGAGGACGGACAGAACCTGGTTGGTTCTGGTTCAGAAAGAAAAACAGATGAAGGGAGGAGATGGATGGTTCTGATCCAACTGATCCATCATCATCAGGCTGTGATGCAGTAACTAAAGCGTCTTCAGTCAGAACCTTCATCAGAACCGATGTGAGCTGAGCTACCGGGCCTGGATAGAACCGCTGTGTTTCCTCCAGGAAGGAGCGGATCAGGGATGAAGGTTCTGACGGTTCTGACCCGCTGTGCTGGTGGTTTAAGCTCTGATCCTGTTTCCATCAGATTAAGCTGCTTTACAGGATTACTGGTTCTGATCCGTCTCTCTGAACCCGACTCTCCTCTCAGGGCACAGAGGGATCAGAACGGGCCCTGAGGACGGGTCTGGGTCCAGAACCTGGGTCCAGAACCTGGGTCAGACTGATTGTTCTGGTCCAGGACCTGAGGCTATTTTAGCTGCAGGTTCTGGTCGGAGCCTCCAGGGTCTGCTAATCCTCCAGGAGGTCTGAGTGTCATCAGCTGCTGAACAGCTGACGGAGCTTTCAGCAGGTGGAGGCGCTGCCAGGCCTGCGGCCGGTTCGACCCGCCAGGAGGAGCCAGGAGGAGCCAGGAGGAGCAAGGAGGAACCAGGAGGAACCAGGAGGAGCAGCAGCCTGGAGCTGCTGACCTTCAGAGGAGGAGTAAGGCTGCCTCACCTGCTGGTGGTCCTCAGGTAGAGGAGGAGGAGGGGGCGTGGCCAGCTGGTTCCCACTCTGCTGCTGATGATGATGATGATGAAGGTGGGTGCTGTCTCGAGCCGCCATCTCCGCCATCCGGCGCTCCATCTGCTCCAGCCGCTCCAGGATGGACATCCTGAACTGATTATCTGCAGGTGGCAGAGAGAAGGTGTGACTGAGGCTCCGCCCCCTGCAGATCAGGAGGATCAGCCGCCGTCTCCGCCGCTCCTTCAGAGCGCCTCTGACACCCAACACATGGATTAGACCCCCAATGCCCTAAGCTCCTCCCACATTACCCACAATGCACACAGAGCTGACCGTGAGGAGCGGTCAGAGACGTCTGGACAGCGCCGAGCGGGACGGCGCTCTTAAATAACCGTTAAACAGAGCCTCTAACCCCCCCCCACATGCTGCCTCAGATGGAAACTATCTGAGTGACTTCAATCACCTCGCCACCGCCGCCTGGCACCGCTCTGTGTGTTCAGGAAATAAAAGCACACGACAAATATAGGCTGACCCACAGTGACCTGCAGCACACACACACTCACTGAGATACTATCCCTGTGGGGACTTTCCATTCACTCCTATGGTCTAACCCAGACCCAACCCCAACAACACAGCCTCTCATCATGGGAACCAGTCACTGGTCCCCAGAAGAACCTTAAAGTTCCCAGAATGCAGCAGCTTTCTGGGAACTAATCCCCACTGGGTAACAAACACCTGGCTACACACACACACACACACACACACACACACCCAGGGAGCTCCTGCAGCTGCTCTACAACCACCACAGCTCAGAACAGGAGAACCCAAAGAACCCAGCAGAACCCGGCTGGTTCTGGGTCCAGCAGCAAAACCCCAGCTGGTTCTGGGTCTGCAGCAGAACCCCAGCTGGTTCTGGGTCCGGCAGCAGAACCCTAGCTGGTTCTGGGTCCGGCAGCAGAACCCCAGCTGGTTCTGGGTCCGGCAGCAGAACCCCAGCTGGTTCTGGGTCCGGCAGCAGAACCCTAGCTGGTTCTGGGTCCGGCAGCAGAACCCCAGCTGGTTCTGGGTCCGGCAGCAGAACCCCAGCTGGTTCTGGGTCCGGCAGCAGAACCCTAGCTGGTTCTGGGTCCGGCAGCAGAACCCCAGCTGGTTCTGGGTCCGGCAGCAGAACCCCAGCTGGTTCTGGGTCCGGCAGCAGAACCCCAGCTGGTTCTGGGTCTGCAGCAGAACCCCAGCTGGATCTGGGTCTGCAGCAGAACCCCAGCTGGTTCTGGGTCCGGCAGCAGAACCCCAGCTGGTTCTGGGTCCGGCAGCAGAACCCCAGCTGGTTCTGGGTCCGGCAGCAGAACCCCAGCTGGTTCTGGGTCCGGCAGCAGAACCCCAGCTGGTTCTGGGTCTGCAGCAGAACCCCAGCTGGATCTGGGTCTGCAGCAGAACCCCAGCTGGTTCTGGGTCCGGCAGCAGAACCCCAGCTGGTTCTGGGTCTGCAGCAGAACCCCAGCTGGATCTGGGTCTGCAGCAGAACCCCAGCTGGTTCAGGGTCCGGCAGCAGAACCCCAGCTGGTTCAGGGTCCGGCAGCAGAACCCCAGCTGGTTCAGGGTCCGGCAGCAGAACCCCAGCTGGTTCTGGGTCCGGCAGCAGAACCCCAGCTGGTTCTGGGTCCGGCAGAAGAACCCGGCCTGCGTTCCCTGCTTGGACCCATGGTGTCTGCTGGACAGAACCAGAGATCCAGTCAGTGGAACCAGCATCATCATCTGCTAAACCTGGTTACCATGACAACTGGTCTCAACCACACACAGGGAGGGGCTCCTAGCAACTACATCCTGCTGCTGAGCCTCCTTCACTCCATGGAGCCACCCAGAGGACAGGCACTGATCTATACAAAAAGATCTACAGGCACTGAACTACACAAAAAGATCTACAGGCACTGATCTACACAAAAAGATCTACAGGCACTGAACTACACAAAAAGATCTACAGGCACTGATCTACACAAAAAGATCTACAGGCACTGAACTACACAAAAAGATCTACAGGCACTGATCTACACAAAAAGATCTACAGGCACTGAACTACACAAAAAGATCTACAGGCACTGATCTACACAAAAAGATCTACAGGCACTGAACTACACAAAAAGATCTACAGGCACTGAACTACACAAAAAGATCTACAGGCACTGATCTACACAAAAAGATCTACAGGCACTGATCTATACAAAAAGATCTACAGGCACTGAACTACACAAAAAGATCTACAGGCACTGATCTACACAAAAAGATCTACAGGTACTGAACTACACAAAAAGATCTACAGGCACTGATCTATACAAAAAGATCTACAGGCACTGATCTATACAAAAAGATCTACAGGCACTGATCTATACAAAAAGATCTACAGGCACTGATCTACACAAAAAGATCTACAGGCACTGATCTATACAAAAAGATCTACAGGCACTGATCTATACAAAAAGATCTACAGGCACTGATCTACACAAAAAGATCTACAGGCACTGATCTACACAAAAAGATCTACAGGCACTGAACTACACAAAAAGATCTACAGGCACTGAACTACACAAAAAGATCTACAGGCACTGATCTACACAAAAAGATCTACAGGCACTGAACTACACAAAAAGATCTACAGGCACTGATCTACACAAAAAGATCTACAGGCACTGAACTACACAAAAAGATCTACAGGCACTGAACTACACAAAAAGATCTACAGGCACTGAACTACACAAAAAGATCTACAGGCACTGATCTACACAAAAAGATCTACAGGCACTGAACTACACAAAAAGATCTACAGGCACTGAACTACACAAAAAGATCTACAGGCACTGATCTATACAAAAAGATCTACAGGCACTGAACTACACAAAAAGATCTACAGGCACTGATCTACACAAAAAGATCTACAGGCACTGAACTACACAAAAAGATCTACAGGCACTGATCTATACAAAAAGATCTACAGGCACTGATCTATACAAAAAGATCTACAGGCACTGATCTATACAAAAAGATCTACAGGCACTGAACTACACAAAAAGATCTACAGGCACTGATCTATACAAAAAGATCTACAGGCACTGATCTATACAAAAAGATCTACAGGCACTGATCTATACAAAAAGATCTACAGGCACTGATCTATACAAAAAGATCTACAGGCACTGATCTATACAAAAAGATCTACAGGCACTGATCTATACAAAAAGATCTACAGGCACTGAACTACACAAAAAGATCTACAGGCACTGATCTATACAAAAAGATCTACAGGCACTGATCTATACAAAAAGATCTACAGGCACTGATCTATACAAAAAGATCTACATGCACTGATCTATACATGGAGATCTACAGGCACTGATCTATAGAAAAAGATCTACAGGCACTGATCTATACATGGTGATCTACATGCATTGATCCACAGGAACTGATCTACACACAGTGATCTACACGCACTGATCTACATGCACTGATCTACACACAGTGATCTACACGCACTGATCTACATGCACTGATCTACACACGGTGATCAACATGTACTGATTTACATGCAGAGATTTATGTGCACGGATCTGCAGGAACTGACCTACACACAGTGATCTACAAACGGTGATCTACATGTGCTGATTTACACACAGTGATCTACATGCACTGATCTACAGGAACTGATCTACACGCAGTGATCTACACACGGTGATCTACATGTACTGATTCACACACAGTGATCTACATGCACTGATCTACAGGAACTGATCTACACGCAGAGATCTACATGCACTGATCTACAGGAACTGATCTACACGCAGTGATCTACATGCACTGATCTACAGGAACTGATCTGCAGGAACTGATCTACACTCAGTGATCTACATGCACTGATCTACAGGAACTGATCTACACTCAGTGATCTACATGCACTGATCTACAGGAACTGATCTACACACATGATCTACATGCACTGATCTACACGCAGTGATCTACATGCACAGATCTACATTACTAGATGCTTCCAGTCCTTACTGACTCGGGTCCAACAGGTCTGCAGGTCCATGTAGTCACATGGATTCCTGAATCAGCCCCAGCAGAACCAGAACCAGCACAGAACCTCACAGTGATCCAGTTCTGCCTACCCAAACCTGTACCGACCCGCTGGTTCCCTGTTTGAACCTCCTAGAACCAGAAGAGAACAGCAGGTAGAGGATGATGAAGAGCTACTGACCGTCCAATGAGAGCCAGTCTAGCTGGGAGCTGGGCAGAGAGCTGGCGTTCCGCGCTCTGTACTCGAACAGAACCGACGACGACACAGAACCTCCAGAATCCAGAACCTGCAGACACACCAGACCCGCCTCGTGGGCTGGAAGAGAGGGGAGGCACGGTACATCATCATCATTACAGTTCATCATCATCATCACAGTTCATCATCAACAACAATCAGCTTTCCAAAAAAAGTTAAAATCAATCCTCTGGACTTTGTTTCCAAGTTTGAAGACGTTTCTCTTCCATCCAGGAAGATTTTTCAATCCAAAATGTCAGAAATAGCGTTTAGTTCCAGGTTTTATCCAGCAGCCCAACAAAGCCTGGTTTTAGTTTAGCCTGGCTGAATAGGCAAGGTGTAGCTAGGGTTGCAAAGATAGTGTTATGAATAACTGTTATATCCAATTCCAGCTGGGAATTCATATTATTTTCTGATACTTTAACATGTTTATTTCCCTCCCCTGTAGGGGTGGCAGATATCTTATTTAATCAGATATTATTTCAGCTGTTATATATGAACACGCAGTCCTACTAACTGTGTGTTAGAACAATAGATGAAAGAGTGATTCGAGCTCTAATCATGGTCAGACAGTCATTTCTGCACATACATGGAATAAATTCACCACAACTTCTGTTCAAAATATAAGATTTTATTAACAAAAATCATTCAGCTCCAAGTCAAACATATTTCAGTTTAACACTCTCACTAAGACTAGTAAAACTCAACTAAACTAAACTAACTACTATGTACAAAGAGGAAGAGAAAAACGGTTGAAAAACATTTTACAGTTTAAGATGGATTCTGTGTTTAAAACCAAAGTTTATGTGGAAGAATTTGGGATGTGATCAAATCATCTTTTAACTAATTTTAAAGAAATTGGAATGTTTTCAGACCAATTCACAATGCAAATCCATGAGGTGAATAAAACATTATTAATGTTTTATTCATTGATTTGCTTAATCAGGAACCAAAAACCTTTAGTTAAATGATTCTTTACCTTCTTTGAAATAGCTAGCAGTGAATAGACATCAGGATTCCACTAAATGCAGTCCATCCTGTTAGCTTTTTCTTTACTCAGCAGTAAACACATGAACTGATCAGCATCATCAAAGACATAATGTTTGTTCTGTCCCTAATGGTGCCAGACCTGCAAACCTCTGTCCATTTGGAAGGTTTGAGTTTTCATCCAGCAGCAGCTCAGCAAGGCGGGCTAACAGCAAACGGGGGTTTTCTTTTCCCATGTGGCTCACACTAAGGGACCTTCAGGAGACCTTCTTCTTCAGTCTGGCTCTATAAGTTCTGAAACTCAGAGAAATGTGTTGCAAAAAGTTCTGTTTTGCAGCAGTTCAGTTCTGAAAAGTCCCCCATCATGACTTATCCTTGGTCATTCTGGAGATCTGGGCCTTTATCCTGGATCTCCATGGTGGGCGCCTCTTCTGAAGTAGACTCCTGGTAGCTCATGGAAAAGAGAGAAATCCTGTGTGCGGTGGTCTTTACTGTTCTAACCACAGCGGGGGTGGCAGGTCACACCTCTGTGGGAGTTCCTGTGGAGGCAGGTGGCTGAGAAGGTGGGGTTGCAGAGGTCTTATGAGCCAAAACTGCACCTTCCTCTCAGGTTATCATTTTAAGATGAAACACAGACACTGGTTCCCAATGTCCAAAACCACCATCATGGCCAACAATAGCAGGAAGGAATCCACCCCCCCTCTATTTAAGGTTGGTTCTTTCCTAACATACATGGCTTCCTTCCTCTCAAACCACCTGTCTTCTTTGTCCAAAATGTAAACATTCTGGTCCTCCAAAGAATGTCCTTTGTCCATCAGGTGTAGATGTGCAGCAGAGTCTTGTCGCTCTTCTGTGTTGGGCCATGCGTCTGTGGAGAGGTTTCTCAGAGAGAGGAGGTGTTTATCCTTCCAGGGAGAGTTTGGGATGAAAATAATCCCCCCATAACCACCCAGACTGGTTCTCAGAGATCATTCAGAACATTTGACTGTTTTCTCCAACTGTCTGTTATTGTTTGCAGTGATGGTAAGTGGAGACCTCCACCACCTGACTGAGTAACATTGTCTGTCCAGAGCAGAGCTGGACATGCCGCCATCTTGTTCTCTTTCTTTGCGAAGAAAATTAAAATGCTGCCTGAATGAATCTGGTTTATTTAACTGGAGCGAATAGATGGATAATATTCTCTAACAACATTCAGAGGAACGGATGGTTCCTTCTCTTTGACACGTTCTAAAGCTCCAACTGGACCTTTAGCAAACAGTGCATTCAGAGGTTCTGCTGAATAACAGGAACCAACCCAGGGTCTCAGAACCATTCTGGAGGTTCTAGCGGGTTCAGAGAACCTCTGTGGATTCTGGCTGAGGCCCAGCCGTCTCTTAGGAAGGAGCTGATTGAGCAGCTGAACAGAGGACCATCAGACCATCTGATGGTTCTGGAGATCTGAGGTTCCGTCAGACACCAGGAACAGGTGGTGACCTCTAACAGAACCCATCCAGGGTTTTCATCATGCTACGTTCACAGCGGACGCAGCAAAAGCAGCGAGTTTACATGTAAAGTCAATGGTTGACGCGCATCAAGGCGCAGCAAAAGGTCCCGCACCGCGTTTTGAGCAGCAGGCGCAGCGCGTCGGGAGCATTTAAGCATCCAGAGCAGCAAAGCTGCTTCAGCCGCGCGTCAGAACTAACTGGTACAAGCAGCAAAAATGAAGCAGCAGACGCCATTTTGCAGCTCTTGCTGCGTCCGGTGTGAACGTAGCATTAGAGTCTGATCCGGTTCCTTTCTGGGTCTGGATCAGAACAGCTGGGACGGTCACCTCATCTATAAACCAGGACCAGAGGTTCTCCTCTCTGGTCCTGTTGGGCTGTTGTGAACCGGCCGCCTTTAGACCGGCTCCGCTGGTACCGAGGCGGGTTCTTACCTGGACAGTAGCACCGCAGAACTCCGGGTTGGATCAGGGTAGCAGGGACGGTGTTCTGATCAAACACACACCAGTACCGACCCGAAGGCTCGCTCCAGGGCCCGGTGATCAGAACCTTCACTCCACCCTGCAGACAGAAGAGCAGAGCTGCAGGTGAAACTGGTATCGATACCAGTACCAGTCAGACAGAACCAGAACCAGGGAAACTCTGGGAGAACCTAGAGCTACCGGGTCAGGATAGTGACCCGGTACCAGCACCTGGATGCTGATCTGGACCAAACTGGACCTCTGATACTAGAAATCTATCCTAGAAGCTGCTAGACAACAGATGGAGGAGCGATCAGAACCTGAAATGGGTCCCAGATTCTGGTGGTTCTGATCCGGGTCTCACCTCTGGGTAGGACCACTCTGGGGAGAAGTCTGTGATGGAGGCCAGGCGGCGGGAGGAGGAGGGCATCGGGTGAGGGAAGGGCAGGAAGGAAGAGGAGGGGGAGGGCTGCGGCGGAACAACGTATCGGACCCCGGTGGGGAACACGGCCGGGCCGGACGCTGCTGGAGGGGGCGGGGCCTCTGCTGGTCCCGCCTCCTCTGTGATGAGGTCAGAGATCAGGTCTAAGGAGATGTCCAGCTCTTCCCCTCTAGGCTCCGCCTCCATGTGGGTTTCTTCCGAGTCGTAGCTCCGCCTCCTCTCCTCTTTCACTGGGGCTGTTGCTATGGAGGCGGTGTCCATGGCTACGGCACTCAGGTCGGAACCAGTGAAGGACGACGCGTCAGCCTTGGTGGGGAACGCCGACGGTAGGTCCAGGGCCTGATGGGAAATCTCAGCAGGGGGCGGAGCTTCAGGCGCAGGCATTACCAATGGCTGCTGTCCCTGCACATGATTGGTGGACTGATTATCTGGAGCATCCAGGTGCAGGGAGGCGGAGCTTCTGTCCTTGTGTTGCCTAGGAGACGCAGTGGAAGGGGCGTGGTCTGTCTGAATGAGAGGATTCAGAGGAGGAGTTAGTGGAAGGATACAGCCTCAGGAAGTAGTCCCTCAGGCTCGTTAGGGCGGACCTACCTGGAGCAGAACCAGCTTGGTGGGCGGGGCACTGCCTTCATCATCATCATCATCATCATCAGTAATCTGATGCTTCAGCTCCTCTTCTTCACACCCAGACTCCTCCTTCACTCCTTCCGCCTCCCCCAGAGCCCCGAGCTCCAGGCAGAGGGGGAGGATGGGCGGGGCCACAGAGGAGGTGGGAGACAGGGACAGAGCAACGGAGGGAGGGGGGCCGGATGAAGGGGGGGAGGCAGAGGAGGAGGAAGAGGGGGAGGTAGAGAGGGAAGAGAGGGAGGAAGGAGGGGAAACTGAGGAGGGGGGGGCCGAGGTGGTGGGGGAGAGGGAGAGCGTGAGGGAGGGGTGAGGGAGGGGGGGAGGGGGTGTTCTCAGGATTGAGGGGGAGGGGGTGGGAGGATGACCCCCGTACGTCTGCCCCTCTTTGGGGGAGTTCAAGAAGGAGTCAGGATCAAAGGCTGGGGGGAGGGAGGAGGGGGCTGGGGGAGAAGACGGGGAGGAAGGGGGAGACTGGCAGGAGGGGGGGTTGTTGGAGGAGGACGGGGTCAGGAGGAGTCCTCCGATGACTGGGGAGGGGAGCAGGGTGAGGGAGAGGGTGGCCTGAACGGGGGCTGGGGGGGTGGGGGAGGAGGAGGGGGGGGGTGGGGGAGGAAGGGTTTCCAGCAGGTGGGGGGAGGGCGGGGGAGAGCAGCAGCGGGCCAAAGCTGTTCCTTTGCCCCGCCTCCTCGGACGGAGCCCCTCCTCCTCCTGGGATGGCGGCGGCGGTCGCCATGACGATCACAGCACTCTGAGGCAGAGACACGGTGGCCAGGTTACTGCAGCGGCTGTTGTAGAAACCGTTACCACGGTTACCCATGGTGATGGCAGCCCCCCGAGCGGGAGGGGGGGAGGAGCCGGACCTGTGGAGCAGAAGCTGGGTGAGAGGAGTCAGATCAGATCTATGGAGCTGCTCTGCTGCCCCCTGCTGGAGGCGGGAGGTCCTGCTGGTTCCAGGCTGCTGCAGCAGGAGGAGAGACGGCGGCTTTGAGCTTCGGTTCTCCTCCTTCTGCTCCTCCTCCTGCTGCCCTGGTTCCACCATGACCTCCTCTGCTGGTCCAGAGATCCAGCTGATGGAGGCCGTCTCTACCTGCTACCATGCAGACCAGCAGACTTACGTGGACGAAGGACTGGGAGAAGATGCCGGGCTGCTCTGAGCCTGCAGGTGAGGCAGCTTGCCGTCTCCCCCTCCTCCCCCCCTGCCTGCCTCCCCCGTCTCGAAGGACAGCGGTGACTCTGCGGCCCTGCAGGAAAGTGGCAGCTTGGGGGAGATGATGCGGTGCTTGGTGCAGTTGCAGTGGTGGGGAATGTTCACCCCTGAGGACACTGCGGACACAGAGCCGGCACACGGAGGTCAGGGACAGGTCATGATGTCACCGTGATGTCACGGCAGCGCCTCCTACCCTGACTGGTGCTGCAGAGGCAGGTGTGGGTTCTGGGCTGCGGTTTGCTCCTCTGGCGGTCCAGGATGTGCTGAACCAGCTCCTCGATGCTGAAGTCTCCAGAACCCATGGAGCACTTGATGCTGTGGACTGAAACAGAGAGGACATTAGCTCCACCAGAACACGCCGCTCACTGGGAGGAAGTGGGCTCTGCTCGGCGCCGTACACATGGGCTTCAGCTGGCTCAGCAGGTCGTCCCGGCTCCACCTCAGGGCATCATGGCGCTCAGACACCGTGCACAGCAGCGGGCTGCTTTTCCCAGAATCCTCTGGTGACGGCACGTTCAGGTAGTGGACCAGCACGATGTCCGGGTTCTGTTCAGAGAAGCAACTGGTTACAAGCTGGCTGCAGGTTCTAGACCTACAGAACCTTCTGATCAAACCATCAGTAAACAAAGGAAGCTCTGGGTTCTACTGGGACGGGTTCAGAACACGGACCTCCTGGGGGCGTTTACCTGCAGCAGCCAGTAGCACCGTCTGTGGAATGTGGGAACGATGGAGGAATGGACGTAGCAGCCGTAGAGGCACTGCAACACAGAAACACTGGATAAGAAACTAGAACAAACCTCCACCTGATCCAGACCACTGTTCAACATGGTCACCATGGAAACCAGTTCCAGGAAGCTGTCTACGTAAAGTCGGGGATACTCTGAGGGATGTTTGCAGGAAAGGACTCAGCAGCAAGTTGGTGCCAATTGTTCCCTCCATCAGTTCAGCCAAACACTGCCTAGAAGAGTCTATGCTGCATCTAACCACTTCCTGGAAGAGTCTATGCTGGATCTAACCACTTCCTGGAAGAGTCTATGCTGGATCTAACCACTTCCTGGAAGAGTCTATGCTGCATCTAACCACTTCCATGAAGAGTCTATGCTGGATCTAACCACTTCCTGGAAGAGTCTACGCTGCATCTAACCACTTCCTGGAAGAGTCTAAGCTGCATCTAACCACTTCCTGGAATAGCCTATGCTGGATCTAACCACTTCCTGGAAGAGTCTACGCTGCATCTAACCACTTCCTGGAAGAGTCTATGCTGCATCTCACCAATTTCTGGAAGAGTCTATGCTGCATCTAACCACTTCCTGGAAGAGTCTACGCTGCATCTCACCACTTCCTGGAAGAGTCTATGCTGCATCTCACCACTTCCTGGAAGAGTCTATGCTGCATCTAACCACTTCCTGGAAGAGTCTATGCTGCATCTAACCACTTCCTGGAAGAGACTATGCTGCATCTAACCACTTCCTGGAAGAGTCTATGCTGGATCTAACCACTTCCTGGAAGAGTCTATGCTGGATCTAACCACTTCCTGGAAGAGTCTATGCTGCATCTAACCACTTCCATGAAGAGTCTATGCTGGATCTAACCACTTCCTGGAAGAGTCTACGCTGCATCTAACCACTTCCTGGAAGAGTCTAAGCTGCATCTAACCACTTCCTGGAAGAGTCTACGCTGCATCTAACCACTTCCTGGAAGAGTCTACGCTGCATCTAACCACTTCCTGGAAGAGTCTATGCTGCATCTCACCAATTTCTGGAAGAGTCTATGCTGCATCTAACCACTTCCTGGAAGAGTCTACGCTGCATCTCACCACTTCCTGGAAGAGTCTATGCTGCATCTCACCACTTCCTGGAAGAGTCTATGCTGCATCTAACCACTTCCTGGAAGAGTCTATGCTGCATCTAACCACTTCATGGAAGAGTCTATGCTGCATCTAACCACTTACTTGAAGATTCTATAATGATTCAAACCACTTCCTGGAAGAGTCTATGCTGCATCTAACCACTTCCTGGTAGAGTCTATAACGACTCAAATCACTTTCTGGAAGATTCTATAATGACTAAAACCACTCCCTGGAAGAGTCCATGCTGATTCTAACCACTTCTTGGAAGCTTCTATAATGACTCAAACCACTTCCTGGAAGATTCTATAATGACTCAAACCACTTCCTGGAAGAGTCTTAGCTGATCCTAACCACTTCCTGGAAGATTCTATAATGACTCAAACCACTTCCTGGAAGAGTCTTTGCTGCATCTGACCACTTCCTGGAAGAGTCTTTGCTGCATCTGACCACTTCCTGGAAGAGTCTATGCTGAACCTAAACACTTCATGGAAGATTTTATAATGCCTCTAACCACCTCCTGGAAGATTCTAAAATGACTCAAACCACTTCCTGGAAGATTCTATAATGATTAAAACCCCTTCCTGGAAGATTCTATGATGACTAAAACCAATTCGTGGTAGAGTCCATGCTGATTCTAACCACTTCTTGGAGGCTTCAATAATGACTCAAACCACTTCCTGGAAGATTCTATAATGACTAAAACCACTCCCTGGAAGAGTCCATGCTGATTCTAACCACTTCTTGGATGCTTCTATAATGACTCAAACCACTTCCTGGAAGATTCTATAATGACTCAAACCACTTCCTGGAATATTCTATAATGACTCAAACCACTTCCTGGAAGAGTCTTAGCTGATCCTAACCACTTCCTGGAAGATTCTATAATGACTCAAACCACTTCCTGGAAGATTCTATAATGACTCAAACCACTTCCTGGAAGAGTCTTTGCTGCATCTGACCACTTCCTGGAAGAGTCTTTGCTGCATCTGACCACTTCCTGGAAGAGTCTATGCTGAACCTAAACACTTCATGGAAGATTTTATAATGCCTCTAACCACCTCCTGGAAGATTCTAAAATGACTCAAACCACTTCCTGGAAGATTCTATAATGATTAAAACCACTTCCTGGAAGATTCTATGATGACTAAAACCACTTCCTGGAAGAGTCCATGCTGATTCTAACCACTTCTTGGAGGCTTCAATAATGACTCAAACCACTTCCTGGAAGATTCTATAATGACTCAAACCACTTCCTGGAAGATTCTAAAATGACTCAAACCACTTCATGGAAGAGTTTTAGCTGATCCTAACCACTTCCTGGAAGATTCTATAATCCCTTAAACCACTTCCCGGGAGATTCTATAATGACTCAAACCACTTCCTGGAAGATTCTAAAATGACTCAAACCACTTCCTGGAAGATTCTAAAATTACTCAAACCACTTCCTGGAAGATGCTAAAATGACTCAAACCACTTCATGGAAGATTCTAAAATGACTCAAACCACTTCCTGGAAGAGTCTTAGCTGATCCTAAACACTTCATGGAAGATTCTAAAATGACTCAAACCACTTCCTGGAAGATTCTAAAATGACTCAAACCACTTCCTGGAAGATTCTAAAATGACTCAAACCACTTCCTGGAAGATTCTATAATGACTCAAACCACTTCCTGGAAGATTCTAAAATGACTCAAACCACTTCCTGGAAGATTCTAAAATTACTCAAACCACTTCCTGGAAGATGCTAAAATGACTCAAACCACTTCATGGAAGATTCTAAAATGACTCAAACCACTTCCTGGAAGAGTCTTAGCTGATCCTAAACACTTCCTGGAAGATTCTATAATGACTCAAACCACTTCCTGGAAGATTCTAAAATGACTCAAACCACTTCCTGGAAGATTCTAAAATGACTCAAACCACTTCCTGGAAGATTCTAAAATGACTCAAACCACTTCATGGAAGATTCTAAAATGACTCAAACCACTTCCTGGAAGATTCTATAATGACTCAAACCACTTCCTGGAAGATTCTAAAATGACTCAAACCACTTCCTGGAAGATTCTAAAATGACTCAAACAACTTCATGGAAGATTCTAAAATGACTCAAACCACTTCATGGAAGATTCTAAAATGACTCAAACCACTTCCTGGAAGATTCTAAAATGACTCAAACCACTTCATGGAAGATTCTAAAATGACTCAAACCACTTCCTGGAAGATTCTAAAATGACTCAAACCACTTCCTGGAAGATTCTAAAATGACTCAAACCACTTCATGGAAGATTCTAAAATGACTCAAACCACTTCCTGGAAGATTCTAAAATGACTCAAACCACTTCATGGAAGATTCTAAAATGACTCAAACCACTTCCTGGAAGATTCTAAAATGACTCAAACCACTTCCTGGAAGATTCTAAAATGACTCAAACCACTTCCTGGAAGATTCTATAATGACTCAAACCACTTCCTGGAAGATTCTAAAATGACTCAAACCACTTCCTGGAAGATTCTAAAATTACTCAAACCACTTCCTGGAAGATGCTAAAATGACTCAAACCACTTCATGGAAGATTCTAAAATGACTCAAACCACTTCTTGGAAGAGTCTTAGCTGATCCTAAACACTTCATGGAAGATTCTATAATGACTCAAACCACTTCCTGGAAGATTCTAAAATAACTAAAACTACTTCCTGGAAGAGTCTATGCTGAATCTATCCACTTCCTGGAAGATCGTGTATAAGCTGTATCTCAGTTCACTAGAACATCAGTACGGAGTCGTGTTCTCGCCAAGTATGTTCCTGACTAGAACCTAGGAAAGTCTGGACTCTGGGAGAACGGGAGCAGCATCAATCTGGGTCAATTGGAACAGAAGCGTTCTGATGACATCACCACATTCAAAGCTAGTCTAGAGCTGTATTTCATTTCCTGTTATTAATAGTCTCTAGATAATAATACATTTTTTTCATTTAGTGGGAAATAATAATTAACACAATCAGATAAACACAAATCAAATGAACATTTTGCCGAAAAAAACAATCAAACCTCCATCAGAGCCAGCGGTCCTTCACACACGGCTATGCAGAGAGAGTGCCGCTTCACACAGGCTAACGTTAGCCCTGGCTGCTGCAGAAAGGCTAACGTTAGCCCTGGTCGCTTCACATGGGCTAACGTTAGCCCTGGCCGCTTCACACGGGCTAACGTTAGCCCTGGCTGCTGCAGAAAGGCTAACGTTAGCCCTGGCCGCTTCACACGGGCTAACGTTAGCCCTGGCTGCTGCACACTGCGGTCCGCTGGTTGCTAAGGTCCTCTCAACTTTTTTTTTTATTACGCATTAAATCGGTTAATGTGTCATATATGCTGCTCATAACCACTTCCTGGATGAGTCTATGCTCATGCATATATGGAGTATTTATAACATATCTATGGAGTATTTTCAAGTATTAATTGTGTATTTATAAATTATTTATGGATTATCTATATCAATAGAGTATTTATTTATAAAGCATCCGGAGCGTCGAGCTTCCAGAGCTTCACCACAGTTTGATCCTACATCCAGATTTCTGCGCTTTAGCCATTTTGGTGCTCAGATCTTGTTCACTGTGAACGCAGCTTTAGAGTTAGAAGATCTAAGGCCTGTATCCACCTGAGGTCATAGCAGCAGGTTCAGCAGTACAGCACCTCCCCCAGCCTTCCAGCAGGGGGCGCTGCAGACCCTACCTCCATGCCCTGGACCTTCAGCTTCATGTGATCCTCCCTGGTGGTCTTCCCATCCTTCCTCTTCTTCCAGCAGTAGCCGTCCTTCCTGTACTTCACCTTCTTCCTGTTGTAGAGGATGATGCTGCCGTTCTTCGGCCTGAAACACCCAGACACCAACATGAGAACCTGCAGCCCTGAGCGCCGTCTGGCAGGCGCAGCAGGAGCCTACCTGGTCTTCAGGCTGACGGAGAGCCACTCCTCATGTCTGTCAAAGGAAATCAGGTAGGAGGCGATCTCCTGCAGAGACACAAGGTCCAAACAAGGAACGCTGTAGCTGCTGACTCAGAACCATCAGAACCTCCCAGGTTCTCCTCCCTCCCTCTCACCTCGTTAGTGTTCCAGCGGAGGCGCTCGTTAGGCAGGCAGGCGGAGCGGGGCAGACAGTCCAGCAGCTTGTTGGGGAGGAACACCTTCCTCTGGCCTTTATTCTCTGGAGACACAGAGAGACGCTGAGTGGACCGAACAGAACCAGAACACAGACGGCTCAGAGACCGACCGAGAGGATTCTACTGGTACCAGAACCGGTCCTGTCTGCTCAGACCTGAACATGCAGTCATCCTGAAACTAAAACTGAGTTTCACTCAAGGTTCTCCAGCTTTAAACTCAGATTTTCTAAATCTTTCTGTTCTTCCATGTGACCTATGACAGTTTGACCCCCCCATCCCATCACCATGGAGACGATTTAAAGGTCTAAGCTGGAAGGAGACTAAAAAGGAAGCCTTGCTGATGATGAGTAGGTTTCCGGTTCAACTCTAGCCTGCCTCTGCTTTGCTCACAGGTTTAAACTTTCATCAACTAAACAGAAATAATTAAACAACCAGTGAATTAGACTTAGAGACTTAGACTAACCTTCCGTGCATAGAGCTTTCTGACAGTGAATGAGCAGCTTAGCAGTGAAATGAACATTTATAAAGAAAAGCAGTGATCAAATTTAAACAGTGTGAACACTTAGACCCTCGCCTCCTCAGACCCTCGTTTCCTTAGACCCTCGCCTCCTTAGACCCTCGTTTCCTTAGACCCTCGTTTCCTTAGACCCTCGCCTCCTTAGACCCTCGTTTCCTTAGACCCCCGCTTCCCTTGACCCCGGCTTCCTTAGACCCTCGACTCGCTAGACCCTCGTTTCCTTAGACCCTCGTTTCCTTAGACCTCCGCTTCCTTAGACCCTCGCCTCCTTAGACCCTCGCCTCCTCAGACCCTCGTTTCCTTAGACTCCCACTTCCTTAGACCATCGCCTCCTTAGACCCTCGTTTCCTTAGACCCTCGCTTCCTTAGACCCTCGCTTCCTTAGACCCTCGCCTCCTTAGACCCTCGTTTCCTTAGACCCTCGCTTCCTTAGACCCTCGCCTCCTTAGACCCTCGCCTCCTTAGACCCTCGTTTCCTTAGACCCCCACTTCCTTAGACCATCGCCTCCTTAGACCCTCGTTTCCTTAGACCCCCGCTTCCTTAGACCCCGGCTTCCTTAGACCCTCGCCTCCTTAGACCCTCGTTTCCTTAGACCCCCGCTTCCTTAGACCCCCACTTCCTTAGACCATCGCCTCCTTAGACCCTCGTTTCCTTAGACCCCCGCTTCCTTAGACCCCGGCTTCCTTAGACCCTCGCCTCACTAGACCCTCGTTTCCTTAGACCCCCGTTTCCTTAGACCCCCGCTTCCTTAGACCCCGGCTTCCTTAGACCCTCGCCTCGCTAGACCCTCGTTTCCTTAGACCCTTGTTTCCTTAGACTCTTTTATCCTTAGACCCTTGTTTCCTTAGACCCTCGCCTCCTTAGACCCTCGCTTCCTTAGACCCTCGCCTCCTTAGACCCTCGCCTCCTTAGACCCTTGTTTCCTTAGACCCTTGTTTCCTTAGACCCTCGCCTCCTTAGACCCTTGCCTCCTTAGACCCTCGCCTCCTTAGACCCGTGTTTCCTTAGCCCATTGCGTACGCAGCTGTCTCTGCTGAAGATGTGAGCTGGTTAAAAAGCTTCTTGGAAGCTTTATTGATGTTTGAGAAGATGGAACCTGGAGGAGAATAAACCACACATCTACAAAACATCAAGTCTGGATGTTTCCATCCTCTCTAGATGATGATGATGATGATGATGATGCTTTGGTTGCTGGAGATTCAATAAACTGCAACTTTTCCAGATGTTGCTGCTGCTGGTTAACAGGAACTTCACCAGGAACTGGTTCTCCTCAGGAACCTTAAAGAACCTAAAAGTTCTGCTTCCTTCTGTCTCCGTCTTCACCGACCTCCCTGAAAGGTCAGAGGTCATCTCCTGGTTTTTATCTGGAACATCAGCAAACTTCAAACAGAAACCAGAGTTCTGCTGCGGTGAGACCTGAGCAGGTCCAGAACCGATGGATGCATTGTGGTTTAGAACCCAAATGGGTCGGATCAGACGCCAAGAGCTCCATTTGGTCCACTTTAGTCCAGACAGAACCAACAGAACCAGGTCTGGAGCTGCAGCAGAACAGAACCTCTGCATGTTTCAGGATGGTTCACAGCCTGTAGGGCTCCAGAACCAAGCAGAGGTCAGAACTGAGGTCCAAATGACCACAGAGGGATGGAAGACGACATCGTCTAGAACCGCCTCTGACATCTTCTCTGAATGTGAACCCATGGGAGGTTCTGTCTTTCCCTTAAAGAACCCAGTGGGTTTATCAGACCGGATCGGAGGTCCACTGGACCAGAACCTCAGCCTGATCCGCTTCATTTCAACCCAACACTGCTGCAACCATGACGTCTGTCCCAAACAGGCAGTTTCCATGGCAACGCCTGGGGGAGGGGTGTCCTGTAGGAGGATGGGGAGCCTACCTGTCTCCGTGGAAACCATCTCCTTGTTGCTCATGGCGACGGGTCCATATAGGATGGGTCTCAGAGGACGGAGGTCCAGCGGAACTGTCCCCCTGAGGACAGAGACAGAGATCTGCTGCAGAGACACCTCCTCAGTGGAGCACAGTTGCCTAGCAACGACCACATTTGGATCCACTTTACATGAACAGTGTGTGTGTGTGTGTGTGTGTGACTTATGTAACAGGTGGAAAATGAGAGTAAAAGCCAGTCCGACTGGAACCGGTTCCGATCCCCATATAAAGGTGTGTAATGAACCGGTTTCAATCCCCATATAAAGGTGTGTAATGAACCGGTTCCGATCCCCATATAAAGGCGAGTAATGAAACGGTTCAGATCCCCATATAAAGATGTGTAATGAACCGGTTCCGATCCCCATATAAAGGCGAGTAATGAAACGGTTCAGATCCCCATATAAAGATGTGTAATGAACCGGTTCCGATCCCCATATAAAGATGTGTAATGAACCGGTTCCGATCCCCATATAAAGGCGAGTAATGAAACGGTTCAGATCCCCATATAAAGATGTGTAATGAACCTGTTCCGATCCCCATATAAAGATGTGTAATGAACCGGTTCCGATCCCCATATAAAGGCGATTAATGAAACGGTTCAGATCCCCATATAAAGATGTGTAATGAACCGGTTCTGATCCCCATATAAAGGTGTGTAATGAAACGGTTCCGATCCCCATATAAAGGCGAGTAATGAAACGGTTCAGATCCCCATATAAAGATGTGTAATGAACCTGTTCCGATCCCCATATAAAGATGTGTAATGAACCGGTTCCGATCCCCATATAAAGGCGATTAATGAAACGGTTCAGATCCCCATATAAAGATGTGTAATGAACCGGTTCCGATCCCCATATAAAGATGTGTAATGAACCGGTTCCGATCCCCATATAAAGGCGAGTAATGAAACGGTTCAGATCCCCATATAAAGATGTGTAATGAACCGGTTTCAATCCCCATATAAAGGTGTGTAATGAACCGGTTCCGATCCCCATATAAAGGCGAGTAATGAAACGGTTCCGATCCCCATATAAAGGCGATTAATGAAACGGTTCAGATCCCCATATAAAGATGTGTAATGAACCGGTTCCGATCCCCATATAAAGGTGTGTAATGAAACGGTTCCGATCCCCATATAAAGGCGAGTAATGAAACGGTTCAGATCCCCATATAAAGATGTGTAATGAACCTGTTCCGATCCCCATATAAAGATGTGTAATGAACCGGTTCCGATCCCCATATAAAGGCGATTAATGAAACGGTTCAGATCCCCATATAAAGATGTGTAATGAACCGGTTCCGATCCCCATATAAAGGTGTGTAATGAACCGGTTCCGATCCCCATATAAAGGCGAGTAATGAAACGGTTCCGATCCCCATATAAAGGTGTGTAATGAACCGGTTCCGATCCCCATATAAAGGCGAGTAATGAAACGGTTCCGATCCCCATATAAAGATGTGTAATGAACCGGTTCCGATCCCCATATAAAGGCGAGTAATGAAACGGTTCCGATCCCCATATAAAGATGTGTAATGAACCGGTTCCGATCCCCATATAAAGGCAAGTAATGAAACGGTTCCGATCCCCATATAAAGATGTGTAATGAACCGGTTCCGATCCCCATATAAAGATGTGTAATGAACCGGTTCCGATCCCCATATAAAGGCGAGTAATGAAACGGTTCAGATCCCCATATAAAGATGTGTAATGAACCTGTTCCGATCCCCATATAAAGATGTGTAATGAACCGGTTCCGATCCCCATATAAAGGCGAGTAATGAAACGGTTCAGATCCCCATATAAAGATGTGTAATGAACCGGTTCCGATCCCCATATAAAGATGTGTAATGAACCGGTTCCGATCCCCATATAAAGGCGAGTAATGAAACGGTTCAGATCCCCATATAAAGATGTGTAATGAACCTGTTCCGATCCCCATATAAAGATGTGTAATGAACCGGTTCCGATCCCCATATAAAGGCGATTAATGAAACGGTTCAGATCCCCATATAAAGATGTGTAATGAACCGGTTCCGATCCCCATATAAAGATGTGTAATGAACCGGTTCCGATCCCCATATAAAGGCGAGTAATGAAACGGTTCAGATCCCCATATAAAGATGTGTAATGAACCGGTTTCAATCCCCATATAAAGGTGTGTAATGAACCGGTTCCGATCCCCATATAAAGGCGAGTAATGAAACGGTTCCGATCCCCATATAAAGATGTGTAATGAACCGGTTCCGATCCCCATATAAAGGCGAGTAATGAAACGGTTCCGATCCCCATATAAAGATGTGTAATGAACCGGTTCCGATCCCCATATAAAGGCAAGTAATGAAACGGTTCCGATCCCCATATAAAGATGTGTAATGAACCGGTTCCGATCCCCATATAAAGATGTGTAATGAACCGGTTCCGATCCCCATATAAAGGCGAGTAATGAAACGGTTCAGATCCCCATATAAAGATGTGTAATGAACCTGTTCCGATCCCCATATAAAGATGTGTAATGAACCGGTTCCGATCCCCATATAAAGGCGAGTAATGAAACGGTTCAGATCCCCATATAAAGATGTGTAATGAACCGGTTCCGATCCCCATATAAAGATGTGTAATGAAACGGTTCAGATCCCCATATAAAGATGTGTAATGAACCGGTTCCGATCCCCATATAAAGGCGAGTAATGAAACGGTTCAGATCCCCATATAAAGATGTGTAATGAACCGGTTTCAATCCCCATATAAAGGTGTGTAATGAACCGGTTCCGATCCCCATATAAAGGCGAGTAATGAAACGGTTCCGATCCCCATATAAAGATGTGTAATGAACCGGTTCCGATCCCCATATAAAGGCGAGTAATGAAACGGTTCCGATCCCCATATAAAGATGTGTAATGAACCGGTTCAGATCCCCATATAAAGGCGAGTAATGAAACGGTTCCGATCCCCATATAAAGATGTGTAATGAACCGGTTCTGATCCCCATATAAAGGCAAGTAATGAAACGGTTCCGATCCCCATATAAAGGCGAGTAATGAACCGGTTCCGATCCCCATATAAAGGTGTGTAATGAACCGGTTCCAATCCCCATATAAAGGTGTGTAATGAACCGGTTCCAATCCCCATATAAAGGTGTGTAATGAACCGGTTTCAATCCCCATATAAAGGCAAGTAATGAAACGGTTCCGATCCCCATATAAAGATGTGTAATGAACCGGTTCCGATCCCCATATAAAGGTGAGTAATGAAACGGTTCCGATCCCCATATAAAGATGTGTAATGAACCGGTTCCGATCCCCATATAAAGGCGAGTAATGAAACGGTTCAGATCCCCATATAAAGATGTGTAATGAACCGGTTCCGATCCCCATATAAAGGCGAGTAATGAAACGGTTCAGATCCCCATATAAAGATGTGTAATGAACCGGTTCCGATCCCCATATAAAGATGTGTAATGAACCGGTTCCGATCCCCATATAAAGGCGAGTAATGAAACGGTTCAGATCCCCATATAAAGGTGTGTAATGAACCGGTTCAGATCCCCATATAAAGGCGAGTAATGAAACGGTTCAGATCCCCATATAAAGATGTGTAATGAACCGGTTCCGATCCCCATATAAAGGTGTGTAATGAACCGGTTCCGATCCCCATATAAAGGCGAGTAATGAAACGGTTCAGATCCCCATATAAAGATGTGTAATGAACCGGTTCCGATCCCCATATAAAGGCGAGTAATGAAACGGTTCCGATCCCCATATAAAGATGTGTAATGAACCGGTTCCGATCCCCATATAAAGGCGAGTAATGAAACGGTTCCGATCCCCATATAAAGATGTGTAATGAACCGGTTCCGATCCCCATATAAAGGTGAGTAATGAAACGGTTCCGATCCCCATATAAAGATGTGTAATGAACCGGTTCCGATCCCCATATAAAGGCGAGTAATGAACCGGTTCCGATCCCCATATAAAGGCGAGTAATGAAACGGTTCCGATCCCCATATAAAGGCGAGTAATGAACCGGTTCCGATCCCCATATAAAGGCAAGTAATGAAACGGTTCCGATCCCCATATAAAGATGTGTAATGAACCGGTTCCGATCCCCATATAAAGATGTGTAATGAACCGGTTCCGATCCCCATATAAAGATGTGTAATGAACTGGTTCCGATCCCCATATAAAGACGTGTAATGAACCGGTTCCGATCCCCATATAAAGGTGTGTAATGAACCGGTTCCGATCCCCATATAAAGGTGTGTAATGAACCGGTTCCAATCCCCATATAAAGGTGTGTAATGAACCGGTTCCAATCCCCATATAAAGGTGTGTAATGAACCGGTTCCTATCCCCAGTTAAAGGAGTCTAATGAACCGGTTCCGATCCCCGGTTAAAGGTGTCTAATGAACCGCTTCCGATCCCCGGTTAAAGGTGTCTAACGAAGCTGTTCCATCCCTTGAAGCAGTTCTGATCTCCAGTTAAAGGCGTCTAATGAATCAGTTCCGATCTCCATATAAAAGTGTGTAATGAACTTGTTCTTATCCCCGGTTAAAGGAGTCTAACTAACCAGTTCCGATCACCTAAAACAGTTCTAATCTCCAGTTAAAGACGTCTAATAGCATCGTATCGTGGTGTATTCTTGAGTATCGCAAATAATCTAATCGGTGGGTCAGCAAAACAGACACTGAAACGAATCGCCATGATGGATGGATTTACACCCCTAATAATGAACCGGTTCTTATCCCTGGTTAAAGGCTTCTAATGAACCGGTTCCAGGTGTCTAATTAACCGGTTCCGGGCGTCTAATGAACCGGTTCTTATCCCTGGTTAAAGGCTTCTAATGAACCGGTTCCAGGTGTCTAATGAACCGGTTGAGGGTGTCTAATGAACCGGTTAAAGGCTTCTAATGAACCGGTTGAGGGTGTCTAATGAACCGGTTCCGGGCGTCTAATTAACCGATTGAGGGTGTCTAATTAACCGGTTCCGGGCGTCTAATTAACCAGTTCCGGGCGTCTAATTAACCGGTTCCGGGCGTCTAATGA